TGGCTTGTGTAACCGTACCAGCCGTGCTCTAGCGTGAGACGGTCGTTGCTTAATGCAATGTTTTACTTTTGCTCAAGGCCGTGTAATTGTGTGACCCATCTTCTGCGTACAGAGTAGGCAAAAGCTGCTCTGCGTCGCACGAACTATTTGTGGCCACAGCCTAAAGGTGCGGTCACGGAGAGCGTGGGCACCGGAGGAGAGAGAGGCGCAGGATCATGCTGCAGGTGCCAAGGCTGTGAACCCCGGGGTCACACAACGCCAGCCGCCACTCACTGCCAGACAAAACTGATTTCAAGGGTAACAAAGAGCAATTACTCAATATACATAAATCACGTGTTAGCTGTGTCATCACTGAAACTTTTTCTGTAGCAATATTTTCTTCTTCTGTAACAGATCAAGTAATAATTCTGCGATTAGACCATTAAGATTTAAATCTGCACTAGCGATGGATTCTCACCAACATGTGGCTGGTGAGAGCACGACGGCAGGGGCCGGGGCAAGGCGGCTGTCCCGGGACGGGGCATTTGGCTGCAGACCAGCAGAGAGTAGCTGTTTCGGCCCTGGGAAACGCAACCTGAACGACAGGCTGTTTGCACAGAGCGACTCCAAGGACTTCTGCTGGCTGCACACGCAGGGCCGCGTCCCACCAACGCCGCGAGCAGGGACTCCCGCGGGAGGCAAACAGCAAAGTCCCGGCCAGGCACCGCGGATTTTGCTCGGAGAGCTGCAGCCCGAGGGAGGCTGGTGGGAGGAGAGCTGGGGACCGGCTTCTGAGAGCAAGTGGGACTTCTCTGCTGGAACCCCGGCGCAGGGCAGGACGCGACGGAGGGACCTGTCTGCGGGGAGCAGCCCCGCAGCCCCCGTCCCTGTCCCCAGAGGGTTCCCCAGCAGGATGCCTTGCTGCTGCCGGCTCCCTCCGGAGAGCAGACACGGCTCGCAGCGTCCCAGGACACAGTCCGGGGAGAAGGCTTTACCCCAGCGCCCGCGACAGTGGTCAGCACCGGCGCTGGGCAGGAGACGGCTCCATGCCTCCGGAAAACCTCTGATCTGAGGTGTTCGCCTATTTTACACACTCAAGACCCTTCAGATACTCTACCGCTGTGCCAAACTCTCAGTCTGTGTCAGGCCACCCCAGGGCACAGGGCACTGCTAGGGGCATCGCCTTCAGCCCAGGGCTTGGACCGAGTCTCTTGTACCCCAGCAATCACCTCCGCTTGGCGGTGCGGGAAAACGCACCTTACCAGCTTACGCCTGTGAAAACACTGTACTAAAAAAAACCGGACGGTGCTTGCAGGGGATTGCAGACCAGCTGACAGGCCTGCTGCCAGCAGCCCGGCAGGACTTGGCAGGGAGTTGTTAGCCCTGGAAATCTGCCGCTCCAGTCCCGACTCGCAGGGAAGGGGACAGCCCTCAGTGAACTGGAGTGGGCAGCCCAGGCAGGGCTCCAGGAGGGCTCCGGGCAGGGCTCCGGGCAGGCAGCCCTCCAGAACAAAGGGCTCGTGGACAAAACCCACCTCAAGAATCCAAAGAATGCTTTAACCAGATAATCCCACCGGGGAGGACGGGGTGGGACGCGAGGCACCTGACTCTGTGCGGGACAGATAGAGGCTGTAGCTCCAGAAGCTGCCTTCTCCGGGACGGAGGAGATGGCAACCGGCAGAGTTGTGGAGTGCAGATAACCCCAGCATGGGTGGGCCCTCCTTCCCAGCCCCGCGTCCCAGAGCTGCTGCCAGCCACAGGCTCCCCTCGCCCACGCAGGGCACCCTCTCGGACGAGGGCACTGGGGTCCTGCAGCCCCAGAGCTGCCCGGCAGCCGGGGAAGGATGGCAGGGACGCAGAGCGAGGACTGCGAGGGTGCTGCGATAAGGAGACGTCACACCACATACGCTACGGCCGTGAACGGGGCTGTTTCCCCCCCGGGATCCCCTTAGGGCTCCCAGCAGAGCACGCACACCTCTTCCTCCAATATTAAACGCCCAAATCTGTATTTCTAAAGCAATATTTGCTTCACGCACACCAGAGTATCAGTAAGGAGGAGTTTAAGCACAGCCCAGCAGCGGCTCCGCGGCAGAGTGGTTTCACCTTTGCTCCTTCACGCCGGGACGGCCCGAGGACCAGCCCAAACTTGCAGCACCCGACCCCGCGCCTTCGCCCAGCCCGGGTCCCGCTGCGGCGAGCCGGGTGGCTCGCTGTGAGAAGCGACTGCGAAGCGAAGAAACCACGCGCACGAGCACAAACGAAACGAACTCAGCGGACGGGTTAAAGCCGGACGCGACGCGCGCCAGCGGCCAGCTGCAAAGCTCCGCTCCGGCTGCTGAGACGCGAGGAAGGCGCTTCCCAGCGTTTGAGGACGCGGGCTCGTCCAGCTATTTACCTGGAGACAGGCGAGCTCCCGAAATCCCAGCGGGAGCGGGGACGGACTGCAGCGTACCTGGGAAGAGAACGGAGCTGCGGGTTAATTAACAGGAGTCACGAAGAAAGCTCAAGACGATCTCACCTTCCAGGTGGGATCTGGAAATGGGGATGCTCAGGGAGGGGCTGGCATCACACCGCGGGATGACCGGGGTTGGGGTTTGGGGGGGGGGTTGGGGGGCCATGGAGCCAGGTTTTGAGGTTCTGTGGGGGCCTGGAGCAAGTCCTTGGGGTGCTGGGGTGGCCTGAAGCATGGCTGAGTGTGCTGCGGGGCCATGCAGAGGGGTTTTGGGGTGCTGCACGTGCCCAGAGCAGGTCCTTGGGGTGCTATAGGGGACAGGAGCAGAGCTGGGGGTGCTGGGGGGCCATGGAGCCAGGTTTTGAGGTTCTGTGGGGGCCTGGAGCAAGTCCTTGGGGTGCTGGGGTGGCCTGAAGCATGGCTGAGTGTGCTGCGGGGCCATGCAGAGGGGTTTTGGGGTGCTGCACGTGCCCAGAGCAGGTCCTTGGGGTGCTATAGGGGACAGGAGCAGAGCTGGGGGTGCTGGGGGGCCATGGAGCCAGGTTTTGAGGTTCTGTGGGGGCCTGGAGCAAGTCCTTGGGGTGCTGGGGTGGCCTGAAGCATGGCTGAGTGTGCTGCGGGGCCATGCAGATGGGTTTTGGGGTGCTGCACGTGCCCAGAGCAGGTCCTTGGGGTGCTATAGGGGACAGGAGCAGAGCTGGGGGTGCTGGGGGGCCATGGAGCCAGGTTTTGAGGTTCTGTGGGGGCCTGGAGCAAGTCCTTGGGGTGCTGGGGTGGCCTGAAGCGTGGCTGAGTGTGCTGCGGGGCCACGCAGATGGGTTTTGGGGTGCTGCGGAGGGACCTGCAGCCAGGTTGTGGCATGCTGGGGCTGTCTGGAGCAGGGCTTTGGGGTGCTGGGGGGCCAGGAGCAGGACAGAGGGTGGTGGGGGGCCATGCAGACAGGGTTTGTGGTGCTGTAGGGGGACCTTGAGCCAGGTTTTGGGGTGCTATGGGGGCAGGAGCAGGGCTTGTGGTGCTGTGGGGCCATGGAGCCAGGTTTTGGGGTGCTGCAGGGTGCTGGAGTCAAGCTTTGGGGTGCTGGGGGTCTGCCAAGCCAAGGGAGGCCAGAGCCACGCTGCAGGCCTGGCAGCACGCGTGCAGGATGTGCTGTTTTCTCCATCTCGTCCAAGCATGGGAGATGCACGGATCAGGTTTATCCTTCTGCAGAAAGATCAGACAAAATAATGCATTTTTCCCAAACAAAGGGCTTATTCTAACAGAAACTCTCATGGTGGTGCGCAGCTCCCGCATGATAACCCCGTCTCCTCGGCCGGCTGCAGTGCGTAAACCCCGACCTCGTATCTCTGCTCTCTTTGCCCCCAGCCCAACTGGGAGCGAGGGTGAGCCAAGGCTCCTTCCGCCAGGGATACAAAGACCAGCACCCAAGCCTCACTGCTCCCGTAACTGGCAATGTCCTGTCAAGTCTCTGCACTTGCCTCGCTCCTCTCTGCGACCCCCCCGGGAGCCCTGCGTCCAGCTCCGGAGCCCTCAGCCCAGGACAGAGCTGGAGCTGCGGGAGCGGGGCCAGAGGAGGCCCCAGCAATGACCCGAGGGCTGGAACCCCTCTGCTGGGAGGAAAGGCTGGGAGAGCTGGGGCTGCTCAGCCTGGGGAGGAGAAGGCTGCGGGGAGACCTGACTGCAGCCTGC